GTGTGTGTGTGTGTGTGTGTGTGTGTGTGTGTGTGTACGTGTGTATGTGTGTGTGTGGGTGTAAAATGGGTCCCTGCTCCAGTTTTTGATATTTGAAACTATGTTGATTTAATCTCAAATATTGGCGCTCATATGATCTTATGCAGTTTCGTGTGCCGTAAAACCTCTACTAAAACAAACTAAATCAAATAGATAAGTTTGCAATTTAACTGCAAAAAAAAACCGTTGTGTTATCTCCAAAACATGCCTCTGCGAACAGATTACCTCTACTTAATTTGTTTTCTTTTTCGTATTTTCTTTTCTTCTCCATTATGTTAAAAATGTTGCGCGAATTATTATTCTTCGAAAACTTAACAGCAGATATTCAATAGTTCTCAGTCCCTCTGGGGGCTGGAGCTGTCCTTAAAGCGTTCTTCAATAGACCGTTGAGCCATGAGGATACTGAACGTGTTTAGGTATTAATTTGTGCTTGTTGTTATTAATGCCGATATTTGAATATTTATAGATTTCTTCTTTTTCAGATACTAACCAAAGGGCATGGGAATGTGTTGAACTTTTGCATTTCCACGGCAATAGTTGTAAAACTAATAGACCGATAATTATGTGTGATTTCCGTTTCGGTTGTAGCGCAACTCTTGCAGAGAGCATAATCTATAGCATAAGTATGTTGTTCTTATATCAAACTCATTTGTTACAGTAATTATCCAAACAATTTAAAAGGACTGTTCAGGAAATTTTGCACAATATATGTATACAGTAACATCGATATTTTTCTACTACACAGTGCCGGCTGACAAATTATCGAGTAAACAGAAAATTAGACATAAAGTGAATTTATAAAAATTTTATTGTAACACAGATACTATTAGATAAACGATAGATATAATATATAGAAATCAAGATTATTTATTTAATATAGGAGTTTTTACGCCCTAATCGACATAGTTTATATTGTTTAGGAGGCAGGATTCTGACCTTACCTGTCGGGGCCAACTTGATCTGAGAAGAATGCAAAACACTAGCAAAAAGAACTTTTGCGACAACACATTCGAGTCTGATTCCAGAGTGGGGAGAATCTTTTAATCGAGAATCTCCGCTTTCTGCTCAAACTGTATCCCTCTTAGCATCGGTTGGCCCTGACAGGCAGGTTCAAAGCACCCTCTCTCTTGAATGATGTGAATTGTGTTCAAAGGGGTGCAAAGCATCTACAACTACAATATAGATTCACACAAGATTTCTTAAGAGTTTTCAAGAAAATGGAGTGGCATATAAATGATAAACTTGCTTCTTAGGCTAGAGGTGTGGGATTGAATCCAAGGCTGTTCGTGGTTATGTGAAAAGAGGGTGAATGGCCATAATGAATAGTCGAATTGGCAGCATCCTGACCCATATAGCACAGTGGTCTATGGCATGAGTCTTATGGATGACGCAAATAAGTATTCTAAAATGAAGAATAGGTGATGAAATTTGTTTTCTATTTTAGTGTGTAGTTTCTCCTGCTTCTAATCACACTCATTTTTGGACAGTTGTTTGTCTCGTTCAAAACTCTTGAAATCAAACCACAAAGCACGAGATGAGCGATCTCTCGTACGAAGTCTAATTTCCGTCGTGTTGGAGTTTTAACAACAGTCGATGCTGTTGAAAATTATTTCCTTTTTGCCCAAAACAATTATGATTAAATCTGGTGTTTTGTAGATTGTCTGCTTCCTTTTGAACTAAATTCTATTTTTGTGAATGGAATCCAGCTCTTTCAAAACGATTTGCTTCTAAGCTATAAAAAATGGAATATGAGCGAGGAGAATTGGGAATGATATAGGCATAACTTCCCAGTTGAACTCCAGAGCGTAACTCATTGGCCAGCGTGACCAAATGGATTTTTTTAAAATTGATCTGCTAAAAAAATGTTGGTGCTGTGAATTGTAATGAGGACACGGATGCTGTCATTTTCCTATTTAAAGTAAACTAGGCTCAACTTCCTGATGTCCATGCCAAGCATTGTGTCAAGGAAATTACTTTAACCCTGCTAATTGGGATTGTACTTGAACAATAATCTCAGCAAGCGCAACAACTACAAGAGCAGTAGAAACTACGAATATAAGACGTAATAACAATAATAACATGGCAACCAACAACATAAATAATATTCGACAACATCAACAATAAATATATATTAATAGCAACTAGTCAATTTTCCCTTGATGGCAGAGCAAAGGTCAAAATTGTAATAAAAAAGAGCTCAAAAGAAATACAATTTATAAAGTGTGTCAAGGCAGCTCAGTGAAACTTAGAGATTTACGCTGAACACACATTTGTCGTGCTAAAATCTCTTTTACTTTAGAATAGTGCAAACATTGGGATCTAATGGTTCGTAGGTGCAGGAGAGATAATGTAAATTTTTTCTTGCTGGCGTACAAATACAATATTTATTTTGCGATAAAAACAAATGGTCGAGGTGTTTTCACAAATACTCCGTGACCTGTTGCGCTTTTTAAAAAGAAGAGAAGGAAAAAAAAGGGTGGATAAAAGGTAATGAAAGCTAAGAAGCCTGTTATATGTTATGGATCTGGAATGTTCACTGTCGCGTTGAAATATTCTTTTTAACAATTACGTCCCCCTTTACAGCCACTTCTGGAAATCACAGAGGTAATCAGCTTCCGGTATGCTCCTTTCGGTAAACTCTCTTAACCAACAATTAACTTTATTATATGACCAAGCAGATTCTCCACAAACACTCTGCAAATGTTTATAAATTAGTTTTTTTGCAATTTGCCAAGTTCACAAAGCATAATTGGGTAATCTTTTTTTTTTTTCCTCTTGTGAACTTTGTCTTTTTTCCTTGAGAGAGCAAAGTATCCTTTGTTTGTGAAGCTATAGAATAATCACGCGTGACTATACATGAAACCCCGATTTTCTGATTCGAAAGAAGACGGGTTATTTATTAATGATGTGTAATGCTTTAATGACTGAAGCCAATATTTTGTCGTTTGACGGCAACTTCCTTTACTTGCTGACCCACCCTCATAAATTACAACTTAAAAAGTACGTTTATTATTTCCTTGTAAGGATTTGCTGAGATTTGTTTGCAGATGTAAAAAAGTGGCATAAAAACAAAACAAAACGGTCAATCAGTAGCTGTTTACGACACTTTGGGTGTCGTTACCAACTGTCTGTGGGCACGGATGAGCAAAACGCTTTTTGTCCCCCGTCCGTTGATTCTACTAGCCTAGTCTGCCAATACAACTCGCGTTCACCCAATCGCGTTGCTCTGAGACACGGCTCATGGCAGAACTCCGCCAGCCGGCGCTGGTGTTGGTTAAAGTCCCCATCACCACTCCTTTACCCCCACCCCCTACGTCAGCTCCGCACCTTTCCACCCCCAGTTTCCTCCCACACTTCGCACTCCCTCCTCCTCCCCTCCCCTCCCCTCCCACCCCGTGTTCCATAGACTGGGGCCAGGATGTCAGCCCACACACAACGCGTCACCCATGAGCCCTCAACCTCCGCGCTCTCGCCACCTTGTCTCCAATGACAGAAAAGAAGAGAGGGAGAGAGAGAAAGAAAGGCATCGAAACAAGAAAACGTTTGAAATGCACGAGAGCTCTTTGATTCCAGTATAAATAGTCGTAGATCTCGCTTTGGGTCTTCAAACACCTCCAGAGTCTGTCTTTGAACAGTAGCATCACACGCGTTAGACCTTTAGGCCTAAACGGGGAGCCGTCACGTGAAGTCAAACTGAAAACTCTCCCACTGGGACGGTTCCTTGTGAGTAAATTCAAAGCTCGAACTTTCCATTTAGAAACAACTTTCGTTGCATTTTCTGCCATTTCTCAAGTTCACACCTCTACCTGAGAACAATGCGCTGCTCCAGCTGTTTATCCGCTCCTGTGATGTTGTTGGCCAAAATCTCCGTTGTGGTCTTACTCCTTGCTATCGATGGCACTTCCTCTTCTGAATCCACAGACAACGTTGTCTTGTCTTCCTCACCCGACAGCCAGAAAGCAGCTACAAGCAGGCATAAACGCGCTCCAGGCTGGGGCAAGCGAAGCAGTCTGAACGACGAAGATCTTTTCGCCGACTCAGACAGTGCCCAAGAACTTCTGGACAGTGTGGCAGCCTTGAAACGAGCTCCGGGTTGGGGGAAAAGATTCAGCGGCCTTATGTCGGAGGGCTCTAGCTTAGAGGCGAAACGCGCGCCTGGATGGGGCAAGAGAGGCCAGGAGATTGACGTGGACGAAGACGGCTCAGAGCAGGAAAAGAGAGCCCCTGGCTGGGGGAAGAGGGCTCCGGGGTGGGGAAAGAGAGCCCCTGGCTGGGGCAAGAGGGCACCTGGATGGGGCAAGAGGGCTCCCGGCTGGGGCAAACGTGCACCTGGATGGGGCAAGAGGTCAGGCGGAGACTATTGTGAAACCCTAGAGAAAATGGTCGACGCATACATTTACAAGGCTGTAGAGGTAAGCTCTATTTCTGTTATCGTTATCGTTATCGTTACTATTCTTTGGAGTTAGAATAACGTAAAGGGAAAGCCTCCTAACCATTTGCACTTGAAAGTGACTTGGAAAAAAGTATTCGAATTATTCCAGTCATTTATTATTTTAAAAACTGTTTTTACCTATATTATCCAAGCGCAATTTCAAGGCAGAATTTTTAGGGTTTATGTTTGCACATAATTACATAGTCAGTGCTCTTTTCTCCGAAATCCTAAAAAAACTTAGTAGGTCCAAAAGTTAACAAAACAGTAGAACTCACACATATATCAACTCAGATATAAAATACAAACGTATTTTAAGAAAAAGTGAAACAAACAGGGTATTATATCAACCAATCACGCCAGCCTATAATAAAAGTATCCACTCTGTCACCAGTCTTACAAAGAGTTAATCAAGACAGATGCCTCATTTTCGAAGCAAAACAACAAAAAACAAACAAGGTAACTATTATAATTGTGGAAAAAACATCAAGAACAAAAACAGTTGTACAGATGAACATATTCCTAAGTTAGAAGATTGATACCATTGATTTGGCAATGCTAATTGTTTTCTCATTTGCACTTACAAAACATTCCAGGAATCGGAAATGATGCTGACAAAGCGGGCATAATATTGAATTGTTATTACTTCTTTATTTACTGAACCAACGGCAGTATTGTATTTGTACGAAATTAATAACATTTATTCTTTTTGGCAAGATACAGACAAAGATTGAATTATCAAATTATTCCTATAGCTAACTGTGACAGTGCAAATCGTAGAGAGTGGGTGTAAATTGAACTATTGGCTACCCTGGGATTGGTTGTGTAAATAAGGGGGAAGTGCGATAGACGTTGAAGGAAGAAACGGCATAATGATAGGAATTTGTGACTCAGAGCGAACGCACTAAAGGGGGTGTGAGCGTACACGTGTGTGCGTGTGTGTGTGTGTGTGTGTGTATGTGTGTGTGTATGTGTGTGTGTGTTGGTTGGTTTTTTTGTGGTTTTTTTGGTTTTTTGCGTTTTTTAAATTTTGTTGTTGTTGTTTTTATTGTTGGTTAGTTTCTTTGTTGTTTTGTATTTGCTTTTGAAAAGGGGATGTATGGGTATCCGAGTACATTAATTAATAAATGTTAGCGTGTCTGGAGAAAGCTCAGAAAAGCTTCAGATTGTTAAATCGGCGTCTGTGGTGTAGAGGACAGGCGCTTCGTTGTCACACGCCCGAGACCCGGGTTCGATGATTGTGTGTGTGTTTGTGTGTGTGTGTGTGTGTGTGTGTGTGTGTGTGTGTGTG